TTGGTGACGCCACGATCGTACAGATCGCGAGAGCCATGGTCCACCTGTGGTTGCACATGCGGAGGGTATCTCTCCGCCCCGCCGCCGCTGCGTGACGCGCACGGCTCGGCACGTAGGATTGTGAGTGGGTCATGAAGCCCCGAAGACGAACCGAGATCAGGCTCGCCTTCGTTTTATTGGGAGAGAAATTTCTCGTTATCGAGTTACATGGGATCCACGGAACGTCCTGATGAAGGACATTCCGGAAATGGTGAGGGCGTATGAGGCGCAGCACCGAGTGCAGGCATAATGCCGGCACTAAAACGGCAAGTATCATCAGCATGGGGTGTATCACGGTGCTTAAGTTGAGCACGGAGGTCTCGCAGAGGAGCTGGTACACGCACGGAAGCGTATCCGAGAGCATCGTGTTCAGAAAGGAGCACGCAGTTTGGGGCAGACAATTCCTGCCTCCATAGCGTCATTATGGAGGCGATCGATGGGATGATGCTTCGAGAAGGTCACAAAGCGCTGGCGAACCGAGACAATACGCTTGTGGTAGCCTTTCTCATTGTTGTTGAAGCGCACAGCAAATGCGTCTTGTCAGTCGTCACGAATGCACGCGTTTACTTAAGCATAGCGTGATATTGAGTGACACGTAGATTACCTTCTGCCGCGGGCGTGCTCGCTTGCTTGGACGCTGTTATTGTTTTTTGCAGGTTCAGCCACTGACGAAACAGATTCTGCCGGTGCAGACTCTTGTGCAGGCGTCTTCCTCGGCGAGCTCATTGCGAAATGAGTTCGGATTTCTCAAACGTTTTGACAGCCTCGTCAATACTTTGGGGGGTGTTAAGACTATAGAGTATTTGCTTTACGAGGAGGGGGGTTAACCCCTCCAACCCGATAGCTCTATAAGCTGCGTTATGGCTCCGGAAGATGCCCGGGTATGAGGGCTTATATTGTATATACAGCATAAGGAAAATAAGCTTGCTTTCACTATGGCCCTGGCGTTTGCACATCATTCGGTTTATAAACTTTTATATAACGGTTTGGAGCACGAAAAGAGACTGATCGCCTTTCTACATAGAGTAGGGGTTACATTACTACTCTCCAGTTTTCCGTTTTTTGGTATGCAATATGACAGTTTGAAACAATCATTCAGATAAAATATTGAATTTTAGAGGAACCTTTCGCGCCAAATCACCTAGGCCAGTCAGTTGAGATTTTGCGCGGGGAGGACAAAAGCGATGGTGGGGGCGCGTGGCAGCGCTCCACGCGAAGATGCAGCGGCAGTACTCGAGGAAGAGCGTGGGACAAACCACTTCCGTCTTATCTGGCCGGAGTTTAGGAAACTAGGGTGGACGTCGAAGGCACCGCCTTCTCATGTGATTGAGACACGATGGAAGTACATCCTGCCAGGTGGTTATGGCACTGATGGCCTCGACTACATCCTTGGGGATGAAGCCGTGGTGAACTACGCTTTGAAAAGTAAGTGGTTTTGTATTGATATGCTATCTGTGCTCTAATGGCTTGTATCGCATGTGCAGTGAGCCAGCAGTCAGCTATCGACCGAGTCCGCGCCACAAGAGCAACCTTAATTGCATATATACCATAAATGATTTTATCACCTTTTGTTGTTTTACCTATAAGTTTACCTTTAAATTGTTTTTTATATTTGGTTTTTTTGGAAATAATATAATTAAGATTTTTTCATTTAGAATTTAAATTTATTTCTAAAGCTTAAAAACATGATTTAATACTACAAATACCTGAAGGAGTTTTAAATTCATCAAAATGATATTTAATATCATATTCTAAAGTATTTAAAGATATTTTTCTTTTTGGAAAATCATTTTTTGTCGTTTTGATTTATTTAAACGACCTTTACATTGTAGACGATACATTTAAACGACCTTTTAATTGTAGCTGAAGACGCTAAAACGGCAATAGCACAACTTGCATCGACTGTTGTGCGTCAATCGCCTGCGCACAAGCCGCCCACGAAGAAGAGATCGTCGTCTAAGTCCCCAGCTAGAAGGTCTAAGTCCCCTACTAGAATGTCGACGGCCACGTCGCCAGTGCGAGCACGTGCATCCCAGTCAGGAGTGCATGAAAGTCCGAAATGTACGGGTGCTTGGGTATACTCCATCAATTTATTATTAAACTGTATGTGTAATTCTGTATATTTAACTTTACTGTGATACAGCGTTGGCAACATGTGTATCTTCTGTAAGCGCTTCCAAAATTTCACCACCTCCAACACTTGCGGCACCAAGTATGTTGTCACCAGAAGGTATGCTACGAGGAATATTTTACCTTCTGTCTATTCATGCTAATCTCTATGCATCATATTTGCTGTGCTGAAATATGTAGAACCCGATAGAAACCAGACCTCGTCTTCTCATACAAGTGGAGAAGAACCTGCGCCGAGTTATAAGAAGAAACAAAGTCGGGCGATGTCAGGTGATGATGGACCAGAGCAATCGAATTCATCAAGAGTTGAGGGAGGGAGCAGCACCAGGCACGCCGCTAAGGACCGTACGTCGTTTTTATGCTGTATATGATGCCTACATGTTACACCTAACCTGTATTGTAACGGGGTTACATGGTGTGGAACACGCAGGGGTACGAAGTACCCGGAGAGCTAACAAACTCTCAGTACAGAAGTTGTAGAGTTAACAAGGCCTCTCAGTACGTTGGCTGAATGCCACACGTTATGCATTTGATTAGGTTTAACTATGCTAGATAATTAAAAAAACTAATTTTACCCCTAGGCGGCTTGGCCGCAATAATAGTAAATAAAACACTTCTGTTTTTTAAAGCATAGAAGTTAAGGTGTTAACTTTGAGCCCTGGTGTAACGGGGTTACACGGTGTGGAACACACAGGGGTACGAAGTACCCGGAAAGTTAACAAACTCTCAATACAGAAGTTGTAGAGTTAACATAGTGAATCATCTCTTCGAGATGGACCGATGGGCGGTGAACGTGAGCGTTCGCGTCGTGGACGCCGGCGTCGTATGGACGCAGACGCCGTTTCGGCAAGTGCTGACTCTGCCCGCGAGAGCCCAGCTGAGGCAAGGCCTCCTCCTGCTCTGCTCGATGAGCATGGTGAGCTCCACTTTCACGTGGAACACCTTGTGGCGTGGCGTAGACGCCAGGGTCGTACTCAGTACTTGGTGAAGTAAAGGGGTTACCCTCACTCACAGACTTCATGGGAGTTTGAGGTTATCCTCCGGCAAGATTGCCCTGACGTCGTTGACGCTTACGACCGGGCACATCATGTGCCGAAGCCCTACCATGGCGTGCAACAGCGTCGCCAGGCGCTGGGCGCCTCCCACTAGAGTGGGGAGCGATCAGGTCAGCAGTTGAGTTCAGGCTCTGACCAGTGGCTGCAGCAGCCAGCTCGTACGTATGAGCGGTGCTCGCAGCGGGAGCAGGCGGTGGAGAGACCTCGTGGTGTTAGGGACAGGGTCCCGAAGGAAGCAGGTGCTTCGTGTTGTGCTGAACAAGGTTCAGGCACAAGCGTCTCGATAGACGCATAGTTGTTTTGAAACAACTTGCTCGATGAGCATGATCCAAATGTGGATGCGCTGTAACAGCGAAAGTGGTGTCCCGGACGGGGATTGAACACTGGCCTTTGGCTTGCCAGGCTGGAGCTCTACCATTGAGCTATAAGGGCGATGCCCGTACGTCAGTCCGAGAACGGACTACTCATGGTATGAGAGGGCTGCGCCCGGGTGGATTTGAACCACCGACCTGTGGCTTCCAAAGCCAGCGCTCGACCACTGAGCTGAAAGGGCGTTGCCCTTATCTTGTCCATTCAAGGACAACAGTTCATGGAACGAGAGGGCTGTGCCCAGGTGGGTTCTAACCACCGACCTGTGGCTTTCCGAAGCCCACGCTCGACCACTGAGCTAAAAGCGAATTGCTCTTAAGCTTGTCGAAGCGTGGACAATCGTTCATGGAACGACAGGGCTGTGCCCGGGTGGGTTCGAACCACCGACCTGTGGCTCTCAAAGCCAACGCTCAACCATTGAGCTAAAAGGGTGTTGCCCTTCAGCTTGTCCAAGCGTGAACAATCGTTCATGGAACGAGAGGGCTGTGCCCTAGTGGGTTCGAGCCACCGACCTATCGCTTGTGAAGCGAGTGTTCAACCGCTGAGCTCTGGTCGACGGCTCGAATGAGTCAAGAGCAGTGCTCTAAGCGGTTTGCAGCTCTTGGAGTAGGCGCGGAGCGCGAGCGTAGGTCTGAGACCGCTTGAGAGCAAGATGCGCGCTGCGCTTGGAACATTGGGCCGTGGGCCAACGACGAGAAGTTGGGCATCAACGATGCGTAGGCGTTTGTGAGCTCACGGAGCTGTACAACGCTGGTGTGAGGTATAGTAACCTCCGTCGTCTTAACAAGACGTGACCTCGCTGAGGAAAGTTTCGAGAGCGGAAAGTTCTCATCTTAGTGGGGGAGAGTGTAACGGGGTTACATGGTGTGGAACACATAGGGGTACGTAGTACCCGGAGAGCTAATAAGGTTTCTCAGTACGTTGGCTGAAAGCCACACGTTATGCATTTGATTAGGTTTAGCTATGCTAGATAGTTAAAGAGATACATTTACCCCTAGGCGGTTTGGCCGCAATAATAGTAAATAAAACACTTCTGGTTTTAAAGCACCAAAGTTGAGGTATTAGCTTTGAGCCCTGGTCTTGGGCTGTAAGTGTCCTTTAATTAAGGAACTTAGTATTAGTGACTCTTTGAGCCGAACGTCTTCCTCTGACGCTAAAGCTACGGCAGACCCGCTGCAGCCGCCATGTTGGCGATACCTGCGGTGTCCAAGGCGATGAGGCTCTCGACCCGTCGTAGATAATTTAGAAAACTGTCACCGTATAGGAGCACATGAATATTGCGCGTAAGACTCCTATTGCAGCGAGCGAAACGTACCGAAGCTATTCTGACCACGTCCGGATCCAGTTTGGGTTGCTGTAATCGTGATGTCATTGATCAGACGCTTGGCGTCCCGATAAACTCGACCGTCAGCTGCTTCTTGGCCATGCACATGTCGTACAGACTGTATGCAACCCCCCGTCTTGGTGCTTGTGAGGTCCAACACCTGGTGACCAGCGCTACTAGACTCGTTGAGGCCACCGCCTGCCCACATGCCCTTGGCCAGGGCGTCGAGCGCCATCACTGGAACTAGCAAGTCTCCAAATGTATCGGTGAACATCGTGTCGATGGCGTCGAACTTGTCCGATTGCTGGATATCCGCACCAGTTTCCAAATACACCACTACGATCTCCGTCGGGTGCGCGTTCAGATACGCCTTGATCTCGTCCATGGAATCTTTTGTCAGCGGCTGCTCGGACACTTTAATACCGGAGATCGACGGGAAGCAGCCCAACACCTCCGGCCCCCAATTGTACGTGCCGTAGTTACCAAACGTCTTGCCGAACGCTTCGAAGAACCCACTCACAGCATCCGAACGAAGGTTGCCGCAGTGAGATCGTTGAGGAAGAAGTGTGTGTCGACCTCGATGAACCTAATGTCGATATCGAGCTGGACCGTCATACTCAGCACCTGGTCATTCGTCTTGACGTAGGGATGTATTAAACTAGCACTACGAGAGCCTCAATTTGGAACTTTTCCCTTTAGCTTGTATTCTCGGCCACGAAGAGAATATCCCTGATCGTGTCTACCTTTAATGCACCATGCCGCTTGGTTACCGTGTTGCCTGCCGTGGAAAATGCACGTTCGCAATGTCTTGAAGTGGCTATACACCCCAGCCATTTACGAGCAAGAGGAGAAAGTGTTGGAAGCTGCGTGCGATTTTATTTCCACCACGAAAGGGCCGACGGCAGCTTCTTCCTGCGAGATAGTCTAAATGGCAGTCGACTTGGAGAGTGGGGAACGCATCCTGCTGTGGTCTAACTAACTTCAACTTGTCGCAAAGTATGGTTTCGATTTGATTGGCAATCCCAACTTATTTTAACCAATCGACAGTAGCGATTTGTCTGGGTGTCGGCAAAGCGTCGGCAGGACGTCCCTCGTAAATTTCGGACGTCCCTCTCGAGCAAAGTCGAGTCGACATCCAAGACCGCGACGTCGACAGCTCTAGCTCTGACCATGCTTGATCTAGGCTATAAAACGGATAGACATTCCATCTGCAAAGTACAATAGGACTTAGAGCGATTCTGAAATTACTACAGTGGTCACGGTAATGAATCTCATTGAAATTATTTTGTGTGGAGTAATTGTTTTATCTCACAGCAATTGATCTCCGTGAGAGTATTAATGAACTCCCATTAAATAGTGTTTGGTAAAATAAATCTTATTGCTATTACTTTATGTAGCCCTGCAATTAATCTCACATCTACGTGTCGGCATAAACCAAACCAGAAGGTAGAGTACCGATCACCGTCGCCGAAGGTTTTTCCTTTTTTGTCGCTGGTGTTTCTAGCAACGTCTCCGGCGCGATGATCCGGGTATTTTCAAATAATTTATGCAGATGAGGATATAATTGTGTTGTTCTCCATACTCCAGCAAGGTCCAAGGACAGACCACTTCTTATCATAGCTTTGCGAGCATAGGTGATAACGGACCAGCCGTCGGATGACGACATATGCATTGCAGTGGATACGCCAAGTGCTCATAACACTGGTGTTGTCAAGAGCGGTGGTCTGTCATTCGCGCCGTTGAACCTGTGCATCAAGGACAGCTTATAACTGACTACTATGGTACTTAAGTATCCCTCGAGTACTTTGTCACGCTGCCTTCGGGTGCGGAGAAGTAGTCTCTCCGTGGCAGAACGACGCACTTCGAGCCTGGACAATCACTCGAAAGCAGCGTCAATCTACGAGGCATTGATGTTATCAACCCACCTGCGTCTACCGCGACGTTCGTTTGAACAGCGAAGTAATGATTCTGGTAGCCGAGAAGATGAGCTGATTCCTATTACTGGAGCTATGGTCTGTAGTCTCTCCGTGAAATACAAGAAGCGCGATCGTCGGGAGATGTTCAGCCCTAGCATTCTTTTCCTGAGCGAGCCGACGAGTGGCTTGGATGTGCGTTCGGAGAAGGAAGACGGAGCAAGCATTCGTGCTGCTCGCAATAAACGCAAAGTGCCTGAATAGTTATCAGAAGCTCGACTAACTCTTGGTTTGAGTAAGCCAAACAGCAGCACAATTTTTAATCAGCCGCGCAGTGGTATTGTACGGCATCGTGCTAACCGCAGAAGTTGCTGGCAGCAATTTGCTGGAGAGTTTCGAGTCTGCTCGTACTACGTAGCACTACAGTATAATAGAGGGACATCATCGTCATATTATGTGGTTCTCTTCAAGAGATACTTGTATACGGCGAGCGTTGGAGCCGAGAGTTGTCGCGATGGAGCAACGTAAAACTGATAAGTACTACCTACGAGTGGTGGAGTCTGTGAGCTCTACAATTGCCTTTAAAATAGATCATTGTTTGATCTAGCGCTATGTGTTTAAAGCTCTTTGTTTATAACTTCAGGGCTTGCTTTTTTGACAGGCCGAATCGTTTTTGGCTTTCAAGAACTACAAGCCGTACGAAGAGAGTCACTTCAATAAGATATGCAACATAAGTCGAATGGTATCATTCAGAAGCGTTCACGTCGTAACGTTTGATGCATGACCTTAGTTTTGTGCTCCGTTCGATTGGCGCCTTGCTCTTCTTTATAGTGCTGGTTTACTAAGTTGACGGTTACACTACGAAAATAAAAAGTAGGTGGCGAATCTTGTTTCTTTAGTGTCAGTGCACCACTTATCAGCGCGTAAGCTTAACTTTACCGTTCAAATATTAACTTTTGTAGTTTTTTTCCCTTCTCCTAGCAAGCCCAATAGTGAATACAAGATATCAACCACAGCTGAGAAGGTAATGAACTCTGAAAAAGTTTGTTCACGTGAATTATTCTCAACAAACTTGAGTGAGAATATTTAGTGTATGAGATTACTTATCAACTTAGATTAATCACCGTGACCACTGTACTTTGCAACAAGCGAGCACTTACTTCTGTACAGATCATACGTTGTTTCAAATCGATAGCGAAAAGAACCGAGCAAAAAACAGGTACATTCTTCAAATTATTAAAACCGTGACTACTACCGTACGAAATCTAACACTCGCGTGCTGCACGATTTTGTTGTCATCTTCGCCGCCTTGATCGCGAAGTAGCTCTCGACGGGTAGGTTTACGAAAACCGACTTTTCCTGACCGGCGAATAACAACTCGCTTGCCTAGCGAAGGTGGGATAGATGCACCAATGTCAAAGTCTTCGTGCCAGATCTGGTAACAGGTCTTGACAGTGCCGCCGAATGTACGCCATGCCTTCGGACAGAGAAAACACTGGCGTCAGACTGTGAGCAGTCACAATAAAATGTAGTCTGATACGACTACTTGTGGTTGCCACGCAATAAGGCGCAGACCTTACACGACCGCTAGCGGCTCTTCTGAACACCCAATACGACCACCCAGTCGTCAAACTGAATATGTGCGTGGCCCTAAGTGCGGGAGGCGGTGAGGATGGAGATGCAGAAGTTTCTGCAGTTTCAGACGGTAATTACCCATTAAACCGGTAGCCCAAACCGGTCCAACACGCGATGATCATCATACGTTGATTACGCTACCGATGATTAGACGAGTAGGATATTGGACGAGTGCAGAGTGTTAGTATAATAATGCCCCTCCATTACAGAAGTAGGTATATTTCCTTACATAAGTAGGTGCATCGGCATACGACTAGCGTGAGCTGAAATGCTGTCATGCCATTGGCTGATATATGGGGAGCCAGGCTCATTATTAGCCAATTGGACTATGACGTGGACTTGAGTAGACAGGGCTGTGGCCTTGGTTGTAAAATAAAGTCAGAGTTGATTTCTCCTTAAACCTAAGCCTCATTCTTTCTATTGCGAGCTTCCTGGACACTATAGTATAAGCAAGTAACGGAGTAAATCTCTGGCACGTTACACCTGGTAGCACTTTGTAGTCCTCCAATGACCAAGTTCGACATAAACCAAGACCTTGAGCAAGCTGCTTTCCCCCATCTCACTCGGATCAAGTGGGAATCTCTCCACCACCTCGCGGTGGTGTCCGGAGAAGCCGTCGTCACGTCGCTGCTGCGCTCAGCGACACCCGACGAGCTGCGCGTTGCGGCACAGGAATTCATGGAACGCGAGCTCGGCGATACGAATCGGCGAGTATCAACCCACTCGCGTATCTCCACGAATGACGTCGTGACACTAGAGACGTCCGCCTACTCCGGTGCCGGAGAAGAACGATTCCGCTGAATCGTTGTTTTCGAGAGATCGACATCGCCATCGCCTCGACGTTAATCGAGGAGCCTTCCCCGAAGGTCCACTTCCCCCTCTCGCGGCTGTCTGGGAAAGCCAAGGAATGCCCCCCGGCAAGTTAAATGTCGACCCCAACGCCTCTCCCACTCTGGATACCCTCTTCGGTTCGAGTTCATGCCGCCGCAAGATGAATCTCGAATTCGGGCAAACTTCTTCGCCCTTCGGCAAGGCACGATGACTATGCGCGGCTACGCCCAGAAGCCACGATACATCGCGTCGTGTATCTTGTCCAAGTCCATCGATATGACCTCTCAGGTTCATGTGCTCGTGTTCGGTATGCGCGAAGGCATGACGCGCTACTGCCTTACAGGATCAGATCCCTCTAACCTTGAAGAGGCATTAACCTTTGCACTACGTGATTGCAGCGTCATACGCCCACGCGCTGTCCGCTTCAGATTTGCGCTTAATCCCATGGACATCGACGCTATCGATGCGGCGAGTAATCGGCAGCGTCATGTAACGCGCCGGAACGGTTGTTCTCTCACCTGCTTCCATTACCGGAAGGCCGGTCATCGCGCCAGTGCTTTCGCATGTTGATGCCGAGCCCGTGAGCTCTGACCTTTCAAAACCCGGGCCAGGCCTCGGTGGCCACTGGTAGCAATGGTAGCGGAACCTGCGTCGATGAAGAAGGTTTCACGCACAGGCAGATCTCGCAGATGCGCACCCGCTAATGTAACCATTTATACAGATGGGTTAATAAAAGTTGCGTGGCACAGCGGCAAACGTCTTCACGCGACCGAGATGAGCGCCGAGCCTGGGCATGATGAAACGGATGGATAATCCGTGAGCGCAGATCGGGGTCATTGGGGACAACGTCACGTGAAGTATTGAAGTTGTCGATGCTGTACGTCAGCAGAACATCCTCAAGACGATATCGGTAAATATGGTTTCGTACAGAGCGAGAAAGGGCTACCAGTGTGTCGGCGCTGGGAGAGCGAAGGTGCTCCAGCTTTCTTCGTTCTTGAAGAAAGATGTGTCGTGGCCATGATCTTCCGCACATCAAGCCGCCTCCGACTCGGTGAAGAAGAGTATCACCGAGGCCCCAATCCTCGCGCTTTTGGATGACTCGAAGCCTTTTCACGTCGTCTGCGACGCGAGCGATTTTCCATCGGCTGTGCGCTGATGCACTTCGATGATGAAGGCCGCGAGCGCGTCGTAAGCTACCAGACCAGACAGATGAAGCTGGCGGAGCGCAACTACCCT